AATGACAATCGATTTGTTGTTAAACCTGTTTACTTTTCTGTTTATTTTTAAATTGATTTTTTGGCCCTTGTCCCTCCTTATACACCATGTACCTTATCTTAAGTAAAATGTCTAAGTTGAGTAAAGTAAATATACAATGGGGTATGAATAAAGATAGGATGATAATAATCAAAACTTGGGGATATAGCGTGTCATCACGAGTAATATGTTATAAAAAATGATAAGCCACATCCAAAGGATCAGAATTTGTTAAATAAAAGGGAGAAACAAGGTTGGCTAAAGAGGAAAGAAAGGCGAAGATGGTAGCAAGGAAGGCATAGTCACTACTCCCAAATGTACCCTGCCTTTACCTTGAGCCTACATTACACGCCTAACAAGTCCTATGGTGATCCTAGTCCATCTATTTGAGAAGTCAATGTGTAAATAATAACGGCAAGCCTATGGGTTGTGTGTGCATTTATTGAATTTTATTTTGAGTATGAGTGTCTTTCGCAAAATTTTTGTTATGATAGTGATAGGAACTTCTTTGTGGTAATGGAACTAGGATTGCATTGTTGATGGTTGATTTCTAAGGATATATACTAAGTTGCTTGTTTATATCCAGATGACATTCGTAGATTCTTTTAATTTGATGTATTAACTAATATATATATGCATGTCTGAGTAAAGAATGTTTGTAATGGATATGATGATAGTTCATGAGTCTGTAAAAGTAGTGTTTGGTGTTGCTTGAGGACAAACAAATGTTCTAAGTTGAGGGTGTTGATGTGCCAGCATTTGACGACACATTTGATACTTTAAACTAGGAATAATAATGAGTTTTTAAGCAACAACAATGTCGTTTGATAGTTTTCTACTTTATTAGATAGGAAATCAGTTAAGGCAAGAAAGAAAGTGAAAAGGAGCTAAGTGTGCAAAAGGAGAGCTCTGACAATAGGCTTGACAGAGCATCAAACCTATGACCGACCACCAGACCTGTGATTAGGCATATCGTCATGCTTCTAAAAATTCTACAAACTCTCTGAAGTTTTATGACGACAGAGTGACAAACCGTCGGACCTCTGACAAGTCGCTAGATGCAGTGTCAGACCTACAAGAATACTATAACACTCTGAAGTTATGTGACGGTTCATCACACATGTGACGGGCCTTCAAACACAGTGTTAGACGAGCCTCAAAATTTCTGCTTTCTGTTTTTAAATTTTCTGGAACTATAAATATTATTTTTAGGGTTTTATTATATCATATTTGTTATATCAAAGAAGACCACATCACTTTAATGAAGCACAATAACTTCATCAGCTTATTGAAATCACAATGTTGATTGTCTTTAACTCTCGTAAGTAATTACATTAAATGCAATTTTATTTCTTGTTTCATTAATCATGTGGGTTAAATCATACAACCAAAGGTTGTGGAATCCATGACGACTTGACCTAACACTAGGATTTTACGGAATGAATTTTGTGTTGTGTATACACCTTATTATATCTTTCACTTTAATGGACTTCTAATGGTTGAAAACATTAGAACCTGTCTTAAATTATCTTGTTTGAGTAAAATGGCTAAAACTTTGAAAAAGAGTTAATAACAAGAATTTGAGGATCTGGACTCGTCTAATGGTCAATGTTGTATTAAAATTAACCAACTTGAGATTCTATCTATCGAAATGATAGTGAACACTTTTAGTTCGAAATAATAAAAGTGATATACATTTAATTTGGTTGAAAACGGTTAAGTGTAGCATAAATTTGATAAACTGATATATTAACAATGCATGATGAAGTTATGCAATTAACTCAAAAATGGTCAAATAGTCTTGGTGAACACAATCCTGATTAATTGTCCGTGATTGATTCTACATTTAGGTGATATTGTTAATTGTTACTTATCGAAAAGTGAACTTTAAACAAAAACTCAAAACTTTCCATATTTGCCATTTTTTTAAAAATAAGTAACTGAAAGTACATAATCGCATACAACTTAATTTTCACCTTATTCCATGTGGGATTCGACCCCAATCTAGTTGGGTTCTATATTAATCGACAATTGCTTTATTCTTTTTAATCGAGGTGTAAATTTGAGCGTATCAGCATCAGACTAATAAATTATGATCAATTTCTAACAATTGGTTCAAGGTTAGGCAACATATATTTTCCATCTAATAATTTTTATGTGTACTATATGATTAATGAATATATCATGATATATGCAAAAAACATAAATTTTCTAAAGTAGATTGAGATATATATGTGTGTGTATGTGTGTGTTTGTTTTACTAATATATGAGTGAGATAATAAGCAACTAAGAAATATATTATGAATTATTATTAGTACGATTCTCTTTCAAAGATAATTCAAGTCACATGTTAGGAGCATTTGCTGACCCAAATAGTTGTTGTAGATGCTCATATTGAATGTCCTTGAAGGGCATAGTCTGCAATATGCATAAAGCATGATAGACCAATTGAATCTAAATAAAATAATTCCTGAAAGTGGGGAGGAACAAATGATTAAAAAGATCATATATATAATAAGGAGGTAATATGCTCTTGAAGAGCCTACGACATAATACTTCATGAAACCTCATGAGAGGCGTAGGTATCTGAAAAATAATGAAGTGATGAGATCTCAATAAGTTATGTCACATTACGAATTGATACAAAATGATTTATCGTTTACGATATCTTTGATACAATAGCGCGCAACATTGTAAATAATTATGAGGATCTAAATTCTATAGTCTATTAAAGTATGTTGTCATACAAATGTTTATCAAGTGAAAAGTCTAATAATGCATATTGGTAAGTGTAAAGCTTATTTGACGTGCAGTTTAGACACTAGAAGATGTCATATATTTAATATTGAAAGCATATGTAAGCTTTTGAAAAACTTGTTTATAATCCTCATATGGATTAAATCAATCAAGAATCTTTCGTATTGTTATGCAAGTTGATGACTTGAATTAGAAATCTTGAAGAGTTTTCAAAAGGCAACAAATTATTTGCTTAAAGAAGTTGAAGTGAGGACTTTGCAGAATTTTTTGATCCTGAAGGGATGATTCATAAAAAGAGATAGAACGAAGCACATTTCGTCAAAACTTTTCTACACACACGAGCTCCCAATAATGGTGATGTCAATGTGCAACATATTTGTTCAAGTAATAATATGACTAATTTATTCACCAAGTCTTTATTGAGTTTTTCTAGTAAGGTTTTAATGAGACACATATTTAACAAATAGACATTCTAGGGGGAGTGTTGTAAACATATTTGTATCATAGTGAATGTCTATTATGTAAATTCCTTTGGAGAAAAGTTAGGAATCCTACTTAGGGACCAATTCATTTTTCCCTTATAAATAAATGAGTTTTCCTTTGTTGTAATTGATCTACGAATACCATAATCCCGGAATATTCTTCAAGAGGAATAAGAATTTTCTCTCTTCGGCCTATTACTTTATTCTTCTTAGGGGTTGTTTGGTAGAGTGTATTAGAAAAAATAATACGTGCATTAGCCTTGTGTATTACTAGTACCTTGTTTGGTATTCTTTTCTTACCTATATATAACTAATGCTTGCATTAGTTATACACTCTGTTGTGTATTAAGGTGTGTATTACTAATACCATGGATTTCTAGGTATTAGCAACGCAATGATTTTAATGCATGCATTTGCTTAATTAAAGACCCAATTGCCTCTCAAATCCTTTTTTTTTTTTGCATCTTTTCCATCACAATTGTGGAGAGTATCTTTGTAAATAAATTTTTTTATGCCATGCATACTATTTTTAATGCATCAAACCAAACAATGCATAAAAATAATCTATGTATAATTAGTGCAAACATAAATAATACATGCATTGCTAATACGAACATTACTAATACACTCTATTTAGCACTATTCTTATACACACTACCAAACAAACCCTTATTGTTTATATAGCATAACTAATACATGCACTGCTAATACAAACATTACTAATACACTCTATTTAGCATTATTCTTATACATACTACCAAACAAACCCTTATTGTTTATATAATTTTATAACATAAAATAATACATAAATTACTCATAACTAATTCTTATACTATCAAATGAACCCTTAAAAATGACTAGCAAATGAGTAGAGGCAATTCCATTTGTTGTACAGTTAGCTTCGATGGTGGCACTTTTAGTTGGAAAATGTGAAGCTATCAAATTCCATGATGCTTTTCCTTTTTCTCCTCTCTTTCTTGAAGCCTATCGGTCACTAAAAGTAAAACACTATATTATCTTACATAAACGATAAATAATGTAAAGGAAAATGAAAATTATTACATCTTATCATTTATTTTTAATAACATAAGCACAAATTAATGACTGTAAAAATACATACCAGGATCTATAACTTAAGCAATGGTGTCACTGAGCCACTCAACGTGAGTAAAGTACACAAATATTTAATTGTGAAGAAGAAGAGGTTCAAAATTTTCGTTCTTTTAAAATGAGAGGAAATCTCTCTATTTATATACAACAAATGGTAGTGTGAACAAATATTTATTGTGGCTTATCATAAATGTTACAACTATATGGAAAAGTTGCAATTCTTCAGAAAGGTCACAACCTTAAATAAAAATCGCAACTTTTTATAAAAGTCACAATATTTCATAAAAGTCGCAATTCTTCGTAAAAGTCGCAACTATTCATTAAAGTCGCAATTTTTCATAAAACTCACAACTTTTCATAAATGTCACAACTTTTCATGAAAGGAGAAGACTAATTTTGTAAATAAATAAATTTAAAGTGAATTCTGGTTTGTGGTGGCGCCACGAAGGCGAGCCTAATGTTCTACTTTATATATATATATATGATATTTAATAAAATAATTTAATTTAAAATTCTCTAATTATTCCCATCTCTTTGTCGCACAAACCCAAACACAAAGCCACCATCGCTCTCTTCTACGCTGCAGATTTCTTCTTCACCATATATAACTTGAATATCCCTCGCTACCCATTTCCCCAATTCCACCATTCGATTCGATTCGATTGTTGGCCCAGAAATGGAGAATTCAGAAAGTAACAATAATAATAATAATAATGAAGCAGCCAAAACCACAGCGGTTGATGACAACACTCACCAATCAGGAAACCCTAATGGGTCTGACGGGAATGCTAGTCTGCAAGTGAATGCCAATGGGGAATCCGATGCTGCTCTTCATCAACCCGGAGCTTCACGGAGAACTCCTTTCACCGACCTTAGTCAGGTCGATGCTGATCTTGCTCTCGCCCGCACCTTGCAAGACCAGGTTTCATTTTCACTTTTTAACTCCACAACTTACTTTGTTTTTCTTTCTGAACAAAGGGTTTAGTATAAACTCTAATATGTTTGCTTCTTCAGGATTAGGGCTTTTTTCACATATCAGGATTCAATTTTTGTCTGTATATTTCTTAGAGACTCTGAATAACGTCTTGGGATAGAGTGATTTTTCAAGTGACTCTGATTGTACAACTTGTACATTATTCTAGAATAATGGTGGCACCATTCACTTGATTGGATTAACTCACAAGTATAACAAATTTAAGAGTCAAAATTATAAAGCTGTACCAGAAATAAGTAGTTCACTGAAAAGCTATCATAATCCCTAAAGTCAGACTGTGCAAATAGTCTGTTTGCTGTGAAACATCGCTTCTAAAGTTTTGAATCTGTAGTGGAATTGCAGCTAATCTTGAATGAACAAATTAATGTTGAATGTGTCAACTAGCATTTTTAATTTCTAATCCTTCTGAAGCATCAATGATGCCAACCCTAGACAGAGTAGAGATTGATCAAGAGGTTTTGGCAAGATGGAGGAAAGGGGGGAATGAGTTTTGTCCAGTGGCTGAGGATATTTGTTTTCTCGGAAACTGGTGTAGCAGTTTACCATTTTGGTGGCTGAGATAGGATGCTGCTGCTAGGGAAATCATGGTTGTCTAGATGCACAAGATGAGAGACAGCTTATAGGCTAGTGAGGCAGAGTCAAGCTGATGAAAGCTATTCAGCTGGGAAAATAAAATGAAGTCAAAGCCAGAGAAACGAAGGCCATAAAAAAAAGAAACTTTAACAGAAGGAGTATGGAAAGCCAAAAGAAAGAGAATCAAATAAATAAAGAAATGTGAAAAAAGGAAACGGATAAATGAGGAGTAAGAGGGAGGAGAGGAAAAGGAAAAAAACACTAGAAAAGTAAGAAAACGTGTACCCCCTTTCGTAGCCCCCTTTGGAATCGAATCCTACTCTGCATTGGACAATAAATCTTTTTATCGAAAGAATAAGTAGAAAACCTAACTAGGAAGCTTTAAACTATGAAACTAGCAAATCACGTAAAACACTTCCTAAAAAGAAACAGACTTTGCCTAGGAAGAGAAGTAAAATTAATGTCACACTTCTTCTAAATATTACCTAACAAAATAAGGAAAGAAGTGACACTTTTTGACTCCAAAATACATGCCTAACTAGGCATGTTCTTCAACCCTTTTTGGGCGTGTAATGGGGTTCCAAGTGGGCCCAATCCTCCTCTTGAACTTGGACCATGAAATATGTGTAGCTCCTAGCTATCTTTTTGCTATAATTCTTGAGCTCTTCTTCCACGATAAGCATCTTCTTGATCTTCTGTTGAAGCCCATCAACCTTCACTTGCATCTCCTTAGTTTGAGACCTCAAGAATGGTCTTTGTGGTATTTCTATAGCTTCACCCTTGTCCATGGAACTATCCCTTATTCTTTGCTGGTGATCTTGAAATATAAAATGTAAAGGTTCATTTGATCTTATTTGGGACTTCAGAGGCATTACATGAAACTAAGATTTTTTCTCAAGGGAATGAAATCTTCTGTTTCTTGTTTCCCTCCTACAGTTTGTGCTTGTAATTATGAGATAAAGCCTTTCTGGTTTTTTTTTTGGGAATAGGAAAGGGCTTATATGATGCTTAGTATGAACGATGATGGGATTGATTATGGGAGTTGGGATGCTGGGAGCTATGGCCATGATGAGGATGAAGATGAAGATTTTGATGATCCAAGCGAAGAAGAAGATGATGGTAGTAATGTGGATGAGGATGATGAAGATGCATTTGATGTGCATGCTCATGAAGAAGCTAGTGAGGATGAGAACCAAGGTGTTGAGTTAGACCCATCAGCTTTTTCTAGTGATGAGGCCTATGCCAGAGCACTACAGGATGCTGAAGAGAGAGAAATGGCAGCTAGATTATTGGCCCTTGCTGGGATAAATGAAAGCAAGTCCTTTGTTGAAACTTATTTTTTACTGTTGTTTTTTGCCTCTTTATTCTCTTCTTTTATCGTGCAAACTATTGACAAATCTATGATTTTTAGTGTATGTTGGACAAACGCAAGATGAAGAGGATCGTGCTATTAATTCCCAGGTAATGATATTTAGCATTCTACTGAAGTTGGCTTAACTGTTTTGCTTCTGAAAACAAATTGATATGATCATTCATATGCATTAGTTAATCAGTTTTTTCATATTCTAGCATGGATCTTACATCTTGAGCTCTCTGAGCTTCTTTCTTCATAAAATTAATAATCTCAACATTGATAAGTTTTGAGGTTGGTTAATATGATCAAATTCAAATAATCTTCATCCTGATCAATTGCATCCACCTACTGTCATCCTGTCCCATGGAAGGGACAACTGCATTTAGAATATGTTTACGATAGTTTCTGATATTAGTATGATACTAAGACATAAGAATTTGGGGAAGTTAAGAAATGTGGTAAATACAGAATCTGAACACACACATGGGTGCACACACATTTATTTCTTTAGATTCCTACTACATAAATGAAGTGTGCTTTTGCTGTTGTTGAAACCTTTAAGGATGTCGGTTAACATGACCTGCAGACTTGGGGAATAAAATGATATCTGGAAAGGAGGTATTTGAGAAACAACTTACATTGTCTTACACGTTCGACTCTCAGTCCTTAAGAGTAGAACTTAGGTCACTGAAAATATGATAGGTTGTGCATAGAGAACGACAATCTTAAAAGTATCATCATGTATAATTAACAGCATCCCTATGTGTACAGAAGTGTTTTTTATCAAAACATTAAGTGTACTACAGTCGTTTTATTCTATTAGTCTAGTTATTACCTGTACAACCGGTGATCATCACCATTGTCTTCCCTTAATAGCCCATTAAGTTCTAGCCCATCCTCTTTGGATTGTATATCAACACTGTTGCATATAGTAAAATTTTTTGTTACTTAAAGCATGCTAATAAGGGCATATTGCTGAAGCTAGAGGAATTCTGCTTGAAGAAGCATAAGTTAAGCCTGTTCCCAAGTAAAAAAACAGAACTTCCATTTAGAAATTTTAGAATCATCGTATGCCTGCATTTCTTTGGGATGCACTAGTAACCAACATATTGTAAGTGCTTTTCCTTTGAATGAATCAATCTTAATAGTTGTTTGTGGCTGCGGTGAAGACTAGATTAAGAGGTTATTACTTCTAATGGAACTTCCATAGGGGAGCTGAGCTTACGGTAAAAAAACATGAAATGCATTTGGAACAATTTTTTTCTCAACGGGTATGGATCTAAATTGTGTAATTTGAAGATGAAATGTATTAAAAGATAGAAAGGGACAAAGAAGCGACGACTTGAAGAGTAACTGAATACAAAAGTCTCCTATTTTGTAGATTTGATATTCAAACACATTTTATTTAACCAAGAGGGACTAACCTTACTAAATTTAGTATTCCAACACTTTAATACAATAATGCACATTCTAATACAACCCATCAAACTTAAGATGGATAAAATCAATTTGAGTTTCCATATTTGAAAATATTGGGAACTAAATAGTCTTTAAACAACTTGCTAGATAGTCACGAGAGAAGTTCTAATAACCAGAGTTGCGCCAGGAAAGTTATCATAGTAATTCCCGGAAGTCGCTTGAAAATGGTTGTTGCAACTCCATTGGATGCGATCTGGTGTCGACGTAACAGTCATTGGCGATAAGTGCATTGTTGTACTTACGATCACGGGTAATAAGAGTGGTTCATAATCGAGGTCTTTAAAGAGACAAGAATTGTAGCATTACATCGTGAAGCAAACTATTTTGACTAAGTGAGTGGCGTTGGGCACAAATAGCAAGTGAAAAAGCTACATGTGTCTCTATTATGATTGCAAAAACTTGATACCAACAACAGAAAACCCAGTATAATTCCACAAGTGTGGTCTGGGTAGGTTCAGATGTATACGAACCTTATCTTTGTAAGGTAGAGAGGTGATTTTCGAAAGACCCTCAACTCAAAAGGAAAGTATCTGACAAGATTGAAAGAAAAGATATAGCAAAGTATCAAATATACAAACAAGTGCAGCAACAACTAGCAATACACATCGAAGAATAAGAAACTATGCAATAACTAAATTATACTACTAAAAGGATAAGAAGAGAGGAGGTTAGCCACACAGAATGTGACAACACACAACTACCTACTAGCTTTCTATCCTAATGCTTGACCTTTGTACCTTTCTATCTAAGGGTATGTCCTTAGTCAGTGGAAGATGTATCAATGTCCTGTCTAATCACCTCCCCCAGTTCTTCTTCAGCCTACCTCTACCTCTCCTAACATCTGCTATTACCTTCCCCTTGCACGTTTTAACATGCTCATCCTTGCACCTCCTCTTCACATGTCCGAACCATCTCAGTCTCTCTTTCCCGCATCTTGTCCACAGTGATGCCACTCCAGCCTTGCATCATATGACTTCGTTCCTAATTATAAGTTAGCACTCTTTTAGTCTACCAACAGTTTTATGCACAGAAAATTTAATCAGAAAGTTGATTAAATCAACAACTATTAATTATGTTTTCCTGTTTTCTCTGTAACAGTTAATTGATGATACTTTATTTACAAGAGAATGGACATTAATTGATGATACCATGTGAGGAAATAGGAGAAGGGAAGAGAATGGACATTAATTAATGATACTTTATTTACAAAACAACTCTATTTATGTGTGTGAGATAAAATCAGTGTATTACTAACTCTAACATCGTAACGTTCTGAAGCAATAGTACTTGTTATTCTAATAAAAGCTGCCATTAAAGAAGATTGTACAAAGCAACTACAAGAAGAAGAATAAAAACAAAGCCACATCCACTTCTGTAATATAAACTAGGGCAGACTGCAGACCATTGGAAATTGAAACCTTGGTTATGGGGGTGCATTTTCATCACGTCATTGTACTCGGTACGTAGAAATCTGAACAAGGCACACAATTACGGAATAAGGTCTCAGGTTCAAATCCTAACAGAGGAAAAGCACTAGGTGATTTTTTGCCATCTGTTCAAGCCTTGCAGGCAGATTTACCCGGTACTTATATTGGTAGGAGATAATGGGTACCTCCTGCAATTAGTTGAGGTGCACGTAAGCTTAGATGGGACATCACAGTTATCAAAATAATCTTACGGATAACTAGTTCCCAACTTTTTATTACGTTCACAATAAATAAAATACCCTCAATTACAACACATTTTGGATTTAAGAAATAAATCTTTTCTTGTTTGAATTATATAGAAAATCAAAATATTTAAAACTTCAAAATTAATTAGTATGAAAACAATAGAATAATTTTGATAAGTGGAGGCAAAGCAAAAAATCCAATAAAACATCTGAGAAGTTATGCAGGGGCAAGATTTAACCTTTTAATAGGCTAGCTAAACAAGATCAACATTCACTATTTTCTTGGACCTTACATCTTTTTCTTCAATCTTATATTCTTAGAACTTTGTTGTCATGAATATAAGTTTTTTATTTTTGAAACTGGTAATGTTGTATTCCTCAGTAATGCTGGAGACCTCCAAAAAGGTAGTAGTAACAAGCTAAACCAAGAGATTAACTATAGTAATCCTAAAAGATCTACTAACTGTTCAGCATTTTCTATACAATGTTCTTTACACCAAAAGTAGAAAGTTGCAATGCAGCTCCCTTTCATTTTCTGAATGATGTTGAATCTATCTTCAAAGCGTCTTACATTCCTCTCCCTCCATATAGTCCACACGATACAATCTGGGATTATTCTCCACCACTTTTTCTGTGTCTTGCTTCCCCCTCTCCTAATCAATGAATGTTGTCATGAATATAAGTACCCTCACAAAGGCAAAACCTAAGACTTTAGAAAGCACAAAAGCCCTAAGAGAAATGTCATTCACCTTTTCTACCATTTAAAAATAGGTTTCATATTAGATAGAATTAGAAATTAATTATTTTCCTAATATTATTTAGGAATATACCTTTAATTATCCCCCTAATAGTTAGGACTTCAAAACCAACTAAATTAAGAGCTTTTTTTCCCATTCATGAGTCAGTGTCCCTTTTTTAGTAACTTCCCTGTAAATAGTTTTCGATGCAAAATTTTACGGCAATCTTTCATGATAAATGATGATACATATTAAGAAGTATCACCTGGCTTAACTCACAATACACGACTTCTTCTTACGACAACCACAAAATAAAAAGGTAACTATTATATCAAATAAGAAAAAGATCCATCTAAACTATTTAATGCCCAAAATATTAATATTTTCTATATTGTTTAACTAGGGAAAGATCTAAAGCATAAGTATGGTAATTATAATTTTAATTCATCCTTTTAAAACTATATTTTGATATACTTTGCTGTTATGGATATATCTTATAAGGGGATCAAGTGTCGAATTTTCGTAGTATAGGTGTAAATATTTGATTTTAAAGTAAAAGGGGGATATATCTAAAATGAAATCATATTACAGAGTTGTTTAGTATAATTAACTCTATTTATTATATTTAAATTACTTTCCTACTCAAATAATTCTTTGTTTTGGATGACTTTTTGGCCTTTCAATCAAATTTTACTCCAACGACACATTTACAATAAAACAAGTATTAGAACAAATTGAAGGAAGAACCACTGAAGTGGATCAAAATTCCCTAAACATGTTTTGTTTATATTTTTGGTAATTACCTAAACATGATTAATATGTATCATTTTGGAACTTTCAATTTGTTTGGTACTTTTATATTCTAAAGCAAGCACATTTTAAATATTATTTATGTCATTTTAAAATTTGTTCTCATCTGTACGAGGGACATGCACGAACACTAAAACTAGTATATATTAAATGCGTGTAGTAGTTAGGGATGTTAACTGCCATAGGATAAGGTTCATCTTTGGGCTGACAAGTGTCGAGGATCTTTGATATAAGTCAATTGGCCTTGGTGGTCTTTGTAGTGTTGCCTAAGTGTCTTGAACGGCTAACCATATTTTCTATTCGTAATCAATACAAACTTGGGAGTGAGCTATCCCATAAATGCGCCTCCTGATCAATATTACCTGTTTAAACATATTCTAAGTCCCTAATCTAAAAAACAACAGGTAAGGCTGAATCAAGCGAGAATCTAGACTGCCGCCAATGTCGTGAATACGAGTGCACCCCTGTAATGCATCTTGGCTTGCTAAGGACCGTTTGAAGCATCTTTAAGAAGACATTTTAACACCCTTTAGTATGCCTTTGTATGCTAAATGTAATATATTGTATATCAATAATATTTACATGTAACCAAATTTTAGTATTACTGTTCAAGCATGTACTCTATGGAACAGATATGAAATACCAAGTTTGGCTCTTGATAAATGTGAAAAATGTGACCAAACTGTTAAGGCAATAAATAAAGTGGCGCAAAACATTTATGAACTTCCTTGAATGCTCTCATATATGATATACCCAATGTTGCATATTGTGTATCTGTAATGTTTTGTTCAAATATTTCTATTAAAACTTGTGCTATAACAGTTTCTCCTTACAGTAGTGAGTAGTCTGAGCTGCTAGTTGCTTTATTTTCTTATTCAAATTTCCTTTTAATTTTTAGGGTATAGTTTAGTGAAATCCGTGATAGATCTACAAATGGCACACAGTAGACCAGTATATTTTATGGAAAATCTTTTCTCATATTTATTGTTGTTGGCCCCACAAAACTGTCCTCATAATAATGCTATTTTGATGCATTTTTTCCAACTGAATTGATGGGCTCTTTGGGCTGAAGATTTTTTCCACCATGTTTTGCTTTCTCCTCCTTCCCTTTCTTCAATATAGATAAAATATAATTTTTTTCATGGTTACTCGGGGTTTCTTGAGTCTTTGCTCATTGTTGCATTCAAATGCACATGCAAGTGTATGTGGTCACCCAATTAATATAGTAACTTTTAAGAGCCAGATTGTCGAATCCAAAAGACTTATGATTAGCAAATATCCAATTTTATTTGTAACTATAATTAATTGCAAATGTGTAAAGAGAGTTTGATTGGTATATTATTTTGTATTTGTCTTTTTTTTTTTTTTTTTTTTTTTGAGACAAGTAACAATTCATTCAATAAAAACTTTGCCACCCCAGAAAAAGGTGCTAAGTTGGAAACTTTACAAGCATCAAAACGGTGCTAACCTCTGCTCAAAACCCTATACAATTATATATTGTCAATTTAATATACTAACTCTCGTACTTCCCTCCACAGTTTCTGTTTACACCAAAAAAAGAACAAGCTAAGACAATTCATCCTAATTTTCTCAGTAGAACTGCTAGTGCCTTCAAAATGTCTTACCATTCCTTTCCTTCCACACTGTCCATCAAATGCAAGCAGGAATGATAATGACTGTTTACACCAAATGCAACTAATAATTGCAATAAATAACTAACTAAATTAAATAGCACCAATTCGAATTCACTTGGGGTTTTATCAATGACTTGGGAAATTCCAGGGCTACAACTTAAACAAGATTTCATGCACAATATCTTCACTTTAGAATCCTCATGGTTATCAAGTTATTGATTTACAAGGTTAATGATATGATTATGGTCTTCCGAACCTCTAATCACCTTCCACAATTGGCAACCTAACTACATCGTTGAGCGGGATAGATTGAACCAACCACGGAGCATTAAACTTTCATCTTATTTCATAACCAAGCATGGTAACTTAGGTATATCCCTATCCTAGATACAAATCAATCTAAGTTTTGACAAAGAAAGATCATGCTCTTTGTATTCCACGTTCTATCTCTCTATTCCTCTCCCGAGTTCAAGAACAAACAAGATGTGTATTCTAATGGTGATCCAACATTACAATAGTTAATTCAAGAACTCAAGAATAACTTTTAGTGATAACCCATCTTCTCTAAAGAGTTGATACTATACAATCAATTGTAGCCACAACCCTAGAAAAAAAAGATTTAGCCACTCATAATCCGATTCACAGTACTGGAATCTTTAATCATTCAAGAAATTGAAAGATTGAAAAGAGTTGGAATGAACACTAGAAATTAAAGAGAAAAATCGTCCAAGTCTCATCCTCCAAGTATATGAAAAAGAATAATAAAATAACCAAAAATGAGTCTGTTTATAGGCTAGAAAACGCGTCAAAATCTAGGGTTGCAAGTCCGCGATGCGGAGTCAAAGCGAACCTGCTTTGCACAACTTTTTACCTTCTTCGCGATAGCTCTGCGATACGGAGTGGATATGAAGTCCCCTGGTCCAAAATTCTTCGAGACTGATTGTTACTCCCCAGCTCCGCGATACGGGGAGGAAGCGGAGCTGGGCTCCTTCTTCTCCAATCTTTCTTTGTTACTTGCCTGCTTAGCTCCAAACCTCAGCCTCACTTTCAACTCATTTCTTTGCGTTCCAGCGTCTTCTCCACTAGCTTTCCATCCTCCACACACCTAATCACATTGGTTAGCCAAAATCAAATAAACAAGATCAAACAATTGGCAAGTATAATGGATTTTGTTCTCGAATTTAGCTAAAATATGGGTTTCTCGTGGTTTTTAAGCATAAAAATACGCCCAAGATCATTCATCTGCAACATTGTTGTTTTTTTGATGTAAAATTCCTGCATATTTTAGAAAAGACGAATTTTGTGATATCTCATTAAGTCTGGTTTAACCATACGTGTGTATTTTGTTGTTCTTAGGATGCATGGGAGGACGTAGATCCTGATGAGCTTTCTTATGAGGTACTTCAGTTTGTTGAATTCCTGTTTCTCTTTTAGACATTTTTTGTATTCTACCTCACATGTTTGGTATTGTTCAACTGTCTGCACTGATGCAGGAACTTATAGCACTAGGTGAAGTTGTTGGAACTGAGAGCAGGGGGCTTTCTGCTGATACAATTGCCTCTTTGCCTTCAGTGATCTATAAGACACAAACTGCATCAGAAGGAACCACTGATTCGTGAGTTAACATATCCTATGCTGCTCTACTATTTCATACGTGAAATGTTTTGACGACTTGACATTTTTGCACTCCAGGTGTGTTATATGTAGATTGGATTATGAAGATGGTGACAAATTGACTGCGTTGTCCTGCAAACATATGTATCATTCTGAATGCCTCAACAATTGGTTACAAATAAACAAGGTATTGTAGAAGTACTACCCTCCAAAATAAATCCTTGAACTGTGAGGGAGAAGGATCTTGGCTAAGCCAATTAGTATCTTTTCGGTTATTGTTTGTAGGTGCTCCCCTACCTTTTGAATCTTTTTAAAAATCACACAAGTTTTATCTGTGATATGTGGCTCTAGCTGAGACTAAAAAATTGTGGTTTAGCTCCATCATGGTCAGCTGATATATGTTAAGTTATTTGAAGAATCATGGTAGCTCTAAGTTTATCTGTGCTTCTTTTGCCAATGCATTTCACATTGAACTAGATTGTACTCTTCTCTTTTCCCTTTTTTTCTTTCTTCGACTCAAAAGGGAATATATGTCTTTTGTCAGTACTGTTTAGGGTGGTGATTATAGCTGTTACAGTGAATTAGATCCTGGGCTTGAGTTCCTTCATTTTCATCTGGCTATGTGCCAGATCGAATGAGATTGAGACTTCTTATCCCATTTTATGTAAACACAGTTGAATGGACATGGAGATTAAGATGTTGGATTTCCTTACATATTACATCATACTATTTTGCAAGAAAAATGTTAAGGCTGTACTCACCATGTAATCCCATACAGCAAGGAAGCAGCTTTAGCCCAATCACATGTCCCAGCTCCAAGCACCAATGAGTAGACCATAGTTAGCTTCCCTCTCATGTCCCTGATGAGGCTACCACCCCCGTTAAGGCCATTTCTGCAGTTCTCATCAGAGTTAAACTTGAGAAAACAGGTAGGGAGTTGGTCCATTTTATTTAAACAATTTAGTTGAAGTGTGTATGGAACTACATACAAGCTGAGTAATAGCATTCCAGTTAGGACATAAGTAAATGCTTTTAAAATGATTTGAGATGAGATGAGTCATAGTGGAAGCAATTAGAGATATGGATCTCCTAACATTTAACTTATCAGTCCATATTTGGAGCCACATCATGATCTCCATAGTTCCCAAGTAGTTATAAATGACAGAGAATTGACAATGAAGCTAGTGACAGGATCTTTACATTTGAGCTTCTACCAGTTGATCATGAGCAACCTGTAAGAGGCAAGTTAGTGTAAGGAATACCAAATGGTCCACATGATTTTCCACACCTTATTAGGAAAATTACCATAACAAAGAGGTGATCAACAGTTTTAACATCAGGGTTTCTGCATCAAAAACATCTAGATGGAGCAGCAATACCAAACCTGGCAACTCGTGCATCAATAGGAATTGTCCCTCAATACCCTCCACCCATAATAAATTTTCATCTTGAAAGGCACATATATATGCCACATCTTGGAGTCGATCCAGCATTTGGGCTTCCTATGTCTTAGCAGATGCCAAGCTGTGCCACAGAAAATTGCCTTTTGTTGCCTGGTGTTCAAAATGGTCTATCAGGCACATCATGAGGTAATTGAAGATTCATATTGTTAAAAAAGTTCAAGATTTCAGTTGGAATATATTGTTCTCAGCCTTTCCATTCCCATTTTAACATTAGCTATGGCCAGTGCAACAGTGGTAAGTTTAGGTTTGCTGCCTTCTAGAAGTAATTTTCATAGGGGACCAAAAGTGATCCAATTATCATACCAGAAGGATATTTCACTTCTCCCAACCTGCCATTTAATATGTACATCAACAAGATGTTTGATCTTAGCCATAGCTACCAAGATTGAGATTGGCCAGGACTAAGTTGCTTGGACTCTTCACTTTTGGTGCCGCACCCATGTCGACACTACATGGGTGTGGGGATGGGATCCGTGTCCGATTTGGTCAACCAATTTTGGGTACTTTGACCAAAATCGATGGGGAATGTCTAGACAGTTTTAATGATTTATGTAATCAATGCAAAAGGTAAGGTGAAATTGAAGAAAATGGAATACCTTTTATATAGAAATTTCTATGTCACTCCTTTTCCTTTAATCTCTGTCCAATATTCTCTTCAAGTTCTCCACATAATATCTCATAATTTAGGTTTTATAACTCTATTTTTTTTAGATATTTTAATTATTTTTAGGCGAATCCCCGCACTCGTATCCATACATAGATCCATATCCCTGAATCTTAAAAATTAGATCATGAAGGACCCGACCTCTAGATCTGCACCCGTATCGGACACCCGCACCCTAGTCCGAGCAACTTAGGGCCAAGATGGCTTTTTCTTTTTGAAACTGGTAAATGTATTTTCCTTAGCAAGTCCTCAATGCTGGACACCATAAAGAAGTGTTAGATAAAAAAACAAATAGAAAAGAAGATACTCACAGAGATCTTAATAAACCTACAAAATGATCTATATCCTCTAAACCTACTTCTTTACACCAAAAGTAGAAGATAATATATAATTCCATTTAACTTTCTAAATGGAATTGGTTCTATCTTCAAAGCACCTCCCATTCCTCTCTCCAAACTGTCCACCGGATGCATTGTGGTATGATCCTCCACCACTTCTTTTGACTTTTGCTGCCTCCTCTGTTCATCCAGCACTTGCGCAAATCTGCAGTATTCTTAGGCATAGTCCAACTTGTCTTTGTTATGTTGAGAAATAAAGACCAAAGTTATTCTGTCAAAGTGTTGTGTAAAACATACGACCATTTGTTTCATCTGTCTCATTGCATAAGAAGCACCTGGTAACTATGCCTTTTTCTTCAAAACTTCTTGTGTTCAGGCATGCTCTTTTAACCATCAAGCAAGTAAAGCATTTTACCTTGGTTAAAGCTGGTCTCTTCCATTAGTTTCTCCAAAATTTTTGGTTGCCCTCTATACGGTACTCTTCCTTCCATTCTGTAAACCCTTTTAACAGAGAATTGCCCATCAGTATTGTGTTTCCATCTTAATGTATCTGGTTCAGCAGTTCTGAAATCATCAATCCTACTTGGCAAACTGGCCACTTTATCAATCTCTTGAAGGATAAGTTCCATCCATGTGAACTGCACATATCTTAAATGGTACCATCTGGGTTGTTGCTTAGGATAAATAGGTCTGGAAAAATCCCCATTAATGGACTCGGCAACTTCTAGAATTTTATTTTTTTCCATCTCCAACTATCTTTTGCAAGTTTCTTCCCCTTTTGGGCCATAGGGCTCTAATGGTCTTCCAGACTCAAATCCCATGAGTATCAGTTCTCACATTGGTACACCATGGGTTGAGTTCACCAAACTTGTGTCTAATCACCTCCCTCCAGAATGCATGTTCCTCCCTATTGTATCTCTAGAGCCATTTAATCAATAAGCTATTGTTTTGTGCTCTCAGATGTCTGATGCCCAAACCACCCTACCACCCTGCTCTCTACTCTACATTGTTGTATGCATTGACTAGTTTGTATCCGTTGCCCTCTTTACACCCAGGCCACGAGAATCTCCTCCTAAGTTTGTCCAATTTTTTCATAACCTTGGAAGGCAAGGGAAGTAGAGACATTACATATGTATGAAGTGCATCAAGTACAAAATTGATAAGGATGAGCCTCCCTCCCAATGATATGTATTGTGCCTTTCACCTAGTCTGCCTCTTTTCTGTTTTCTGTATAACTCCAGCCCAAATGTCCCCTGCTTTGTGTTCACTGCCCAGAGGCATACGAAGGTACGTAGTAGGCATATTTTCAACTTTGCATCCTAAAAGGATGACAAAGATTTTGGATGTTTGGCACCTCCTTTATTAGGAACAAACTGGTTTTTTCACCGTTAACTTTTGAACCAGAAGAAGCTTCAAAAATAGTGAAAATCATTTTGATATAACCTATTTGTTCAACCCTTGGCTCACAAAAGACCACTGTGTCATCTGCATAATGTAGGTGACGTACTTCCATTATTTCCACCCTGCTATCTCCTATCTCAAACCCTTTAATCCATCTATTCTTTAATGCTATCCTTGTGATGCTATCAAATCCCTCCATTGCCAGTATAAACAGGAAAGGAGACAGAGGGTCACCTTGTATAAGACCCCTTTTAGAATCAAAAAAGCCCTACATGATTCACCAGAATAGAGAACTTGATAGTTTTAATGCAAAAATCAATCCATTTGAACTATTTCTCACCAAATCCCATTTGCCTGAGAGTATTCAACAAGAATCTCTGGTTGACATGATCGTAAGTTTTTTCTATGTCTAGCTTACACATGATACCAACTTCTGCACCTTTAAGTCTTGAGTCCACACACTCGCAATCAATCAAGGTTGCATCCATGATATTTCTTCCTTTTATAAATGATATTTGATGCTTGTTAACCACCTTCTTGAGTCTTTTGACCAGTATTTTTGCCTCAATCTTGTACATTTCACCTATGAGACTTATATGTCCTTTGGGATCAAGGCTATGAATGTTGTATTGAAGTTTTTCTTAAACTTCTGATATTTCATAAAAATATTGGAGTCTTTAGGATGTCCTCCTTCATAAGTTCCCAAAAAGCCAGAAAAAAGGACATAGGGAATCCATCAGGCATGGGTGCCTTCTCCATAGCACACAATGATTTCATCCTCTTTAAATTGTCTTTGTAGCTTTTCTTGTTCTTCTGCTGAGATCCTTGTAGCTTCATGTAACATTAATTCTGGCCTCCACTCTTTTGTCTTTTTCTACAAGTTTTTGTAGTAATTTTGTTGTATTGCTTCTTTGATCTCTTCTGGATATGTCACCCCCACCCCCTCCACCTTCAGATTATCTATGGAGTTTACCCTTTTGTGACCTATAGCTATCCTATGGAAGTATTTTGTATTGTTGTCTCCCTCCTGTTTCAACCATTGTATCCTTCATCTTTGTCTCCAAGCTATGTCCTCATTGCTTGCAACTTCTTCAAACTCCTTAGTTAAGTTTGATTTCTGAAATGCGTCGTCATCTGTGAGAGCTCTTTGTTCTTGAATTGCCTCCAAGACTGCCAATTGGTTTAGAATGTCACCCTTTCTTTGTCTCCAATTGCCCTATTATTTCTACTCCAATCTTTTAACTTTTCTTTAGCAATTTTAGTTGCTCAGCTAAAATATAGCCAGGCCTCCCATTAACAACAAAAGCTCTCCACCACCGTCTTACCTTTTCTTTTAATCCTTCAACCCTCAACCACCAACTTTCCAATTTGAAATGATTTTTCTTGAAGTTCAACTCTTCACAGGATAACATGATTGGATTGTGGTCAGATCCAATCTTTGCCAGTATTGTTTGTTTAATGAGAGTAAGTTGCTCTTCCCATGATGAAGAGTATAAGAATCTTTCAATTCTTGAGGCGCTTCTATGATTCTCCCCCCTTCCCCAAGTATAATCTAAATAAAGGAGGATCCACAAGTTCCATCTCTTCTATGCATTTGGAAAACTCAATCATTGCTTCATTTATTCTGAAATAATTTGTTCTTTCACTGGGATATCTGATTACATTAAAATCACCTCCCACCACCTAAGGTCCTGCTCACTTTCCCCCCACTGAGTATAGCTCCCCCCATAACTCTCTTCTTTACACCCTTTTACAATCAACATACACTGCTGTCACTAACCAAAAGAAATGATAATTTTCTCTGTACATTTTACACGTTATGCTTTGGTTGCCATGTTCTTCCATTTCCCCTTTCCTCATTAATCCCCCTTACATTCCAAGACACAATCCTTGAGTTCTTTCGGAATTGTGTAGTTATTATTATCTGAGGATTTGCCCTTTCCTGCGCATCTCTCCAAGTTTTTCTTTTGATCCATTTTCATGCACAAAGCATAAGCCTCTTTTTCACATCCCATAGCTGCTCCAAAGGCTTGCCCTAATTTGAGCACATTAAGGTGTACCCAGATCGTAGCCTTTGTCTCCATCATCTCTTTCGTGAGATTGTCTTCTATGCTCAATGGTTCTGGTTCATTGTATGTGACCAACTGATTCTCCTAAGTTTCCCGAAAGGAAGAATCTCCCCTGCTCATACAGTAACTATTTGTCTCCCCTTCGATAGTTATGATATATACTTCTTGAGTCATGTTCTCTGCCTGAGCCTCCTCGATTATCTGATTTCTGATTTTTTGTTCTTCTTCTTCTTCCATTTGTATGTGTTTTCCCAGTTCCTAGTCCAATATCTAGTGCTTAAAAGGATATAAGTTTGGCTTCTATACTATCCAGCTGTATATCGTTATCACCTCGATCCGCTATCTTCTCCACCTCCATCAAACTGCATGTCGCCGGGGACTCCACCCATACCAGCAGCGAGCATATCAGCCAATCATGGAAGATCTCTGTCTTTGTGTAGTTAGAGGATGAGACGTCTAACAATATTTGGCTATCATAATTCTTTTTAAGAGATTTTCCAGTTCTAAGGTTCCACCACTGTTTGATAGAAAAGGCCATGCAATATCCCATATTTTCCTGAAATTTGTACCTCCTTCACAGTTAGGCAGACTCAGTTTATCCCAAGCAGATGAATGACGCCTTTTCCTGTCTGTTGTGCCCCCTCAAAAGAGTGTAGCCTACATTTTCTCCAAATGCTCAATGGTACCTTTAGGAGGATGCACAGCAGTAAGCATATGAGTAGGCATGGCCAAAATAACATGTCTGATAAGGATACACCTACCACCAGAAGAAAGTAGTTTGGAGTGCCAACCATTTATCTTATTGATCACATTATTAACCATCTCAGAAAAGATAGAGATGTTTTCCCTTCCAATAAACAATGGGCAACTGAAGTATTTGATAGGTAAGAACTTGTGCATAATACCTGTAATGAGTTCTAACTCTTTTGATTGAATCGGGATGAGGGTTGGGAGCCCTAATGACACAACACTTGTATTTATTAATCCTCTGTCCTAAGAACTTTTCATAGCAGACTAAGGAGTGGATAAATCGATGTTAGCTAGAACGAATCTGAATTGTTGAATTTTATATTTGTTAATGTATTATGGTGCATCAGAAGGGATAACTGTCTATATTTTGATCTTAACTTACTATGAGTTTCTCTATCGAAGTAACAAGCTGCTTTTATTTGACAACTCACAGTAGTATGCTCTTCGTCCATCCTTGTGGACTTTGGAAGTGGTTAGAAAGGGTTGCTCTACATCAGCAGAGCCTCTAGTGATTGGGGTAATTGTCTGGGATGGGGGTGGATGATCAGCCCATGCGTCCTTCCTTTCCAACGTATATTAATGAATCTTTCACATATACCTGTCCAAATTGTTGAATAATACTACTAATATATTGTTGCTTTTTAGTATTCATTTCTGAGATTTCTTCTATATAAATTTTGGAGGGCTGCAGTTGATTTTTGTATATGATTTTGTGGATGCAGGTGTGTCCAATATGTAGCACTGAGGTTTCCACCTCTGGAAACAGCTAGTGTACCTGGAGAGAGGCATTTCACAATACAATACAATGCAATATTGATAGTAATAGAGAGATTGATCTCTCTGCTTGTTTGACCATTTTTGGTTCACTCTGGCTGGCTTCCTTTGTTCTGTTTCTCATAAAAAAAAATATATTATGATTCATGAATGTACATCGTATTTCTGATAATTCCTTCTCATTTGATAGTATTTTAGTTTTTTTTACAGTGCCGTCCTCTTTCATTCTCTCTATTTAAAGTGTTCTCTCAAATTTAGTTTGAGAAATTAGTTGAAAATAAGATTGTAAAGTTGCATCCATAAAATTTACTATCCAAGTGAACCAACATAAATATATTACCACAACTTTTTCAACACAAGATCAAACCGTTTTCTTGAGTTCCTTATTCCCGACTTTAATTAATTATGTTTTGCCACACCATAAAATGATTTTCTACCAACTCTTTATTTATTCTAAACATAAACATTTAAATGATTAATCAGTTAACCATATTTGGTTTAATTAGTATTATTACATCATTGAATAACCAATTCCGACAGTAGTTCCTTTGCATCCATATGATTCTTTGAATATCATCTTTTCCTCCTTAATTGAGACGCAAACAAGATGTTAGATTTGAGTTGGTTCAAGCATTGGTCTGGTGACTCGATCTCTTGCTTAGTAAAAGGGTCTCTATATTGGCAAGTAGGATTTAGCCATCGCCTACATGGAAGAATGTGACAAATTGATAATTTTGTTGGCAAAAAAATTCCTAATTGATCTGTTTCAATTTTCTTATACAATATTTCCTTACTAGTTCTTTTAAACAATGCTCCAAACCAAGAAGATGATGACGAAATATAAGTTGTACTAGGTTTCCTGCAAAAATTCCTCCAGAATTGTTCCAATAAATTGATCTGTAAATAAGCACGATGAGCAGAAATGAACCGCAATTTTTACTGGTAAAATATTTCAATCTCGTGGACGAGAAAATGCAATAATAGAGGAATTTCTGTTTACATACATGTAGGGAACATTGTTAAAAGAATGATTGTAGACACATAAATTTTGTTAGATTCAATTAATATGTTTGAACCCCCTTTTATTATTAAAAATAATAGAATTTTTATTCATACAAAATTTTGAATTAAATTCACGTTCAATTGGGTTGAATAATTAATTGGGTTTCACACATGAACACGTACATTTTATAATCTCAAGTCCAATGTCCATTTCATCTTGAGGCCTAAGCTCATGCCACGTCAAGATGACTTGTCATCCTAGTCAAGTTCATGATCAACAAGAGGATGCCATCCGTTCAAATGATATATGGCAATCCTGGTCAAAGTTCATCAACCAATCAAAAAGTAACCTTACTTTGTGATAAGCTTGATGAATTACATAAACCAATCAAAACAAGGCAAAAGAGTTCATCCATATTTGGACTGCCTCTCTCCTACAACTATAAATAGGAGGGTTACATAATTTTCTTAAGAGAGTCTCCAAGCATTGGAGAAAGCTACAACATCAACTACATAATTGTTCAAAGGAGTGGTCAACATAGTTCTTCTCGGAGATCGACTTGAGACGATGACGTGCTTCTCAATGTTTCCGACGATCAAACACATCTCAAGGAGGTCTACATCATCCTACGTTTGAGAAATACGATACGGTTAGCCCTCGAATTACGAAAACTATTAGGAGATAAGAATTAAAAAAACAACAAAATTGTACTCATGAAGATTCATCAATTAAATTACTTTTTCTTTTATTTATTCTGATTGCAGTTAATTTTCAACACTATGAAAAATTGTTGCGAATAAATTTGACACACCCAATAAGATCAATTATGTTGTTCATCTCCTTCGCTTATAAATCGGAAAACTACAAATTCTACTAGTACTGTAATGGACTTTGAAAAAATCAACAATACTTCATGTAAGGTAAGTCTCAAGGCTAGCGACATGAATAAATCAGAGTTCTTCATATCTTCGGAGATGGCAGACAAAGACAAATATCATATTACAATTACAACTTTTAGGGAAAAATCCATTTCTGTCCATCAGATGATGTCTCTCAAACTAGCTTCAATTTTGAGGATTTCGACGATTTGACAAATTTATTTATCTCAACAAAGGTCAACGCCATGATGATTAATGTAGTCAATGTCAATGAACAACTTGTTGTAATGACGCAAACCATTAAGGCATTAAAGAAATATACTGAATATAAAGATCTTCAAATCACCCAACTTATGAGCAAATTAGATCTCTATTGCCCTGGAGAGTCAAGTTACAACATAGCACCACAAGAAAAATTTGATATTGAATCTCCCACCAAGCTAGTTGAATCTCAATGCGCAAAGCAATCTACTTCAATGGTTATTCCAACAATTCAACAACTATAATATATAATTACGAACACCATCAAAGCTCAATATGGTGGTCCATCACAAAGTTCTTTAGGATACTCAAACTCATATTCTTGAGGACTTACCGATGCAAATTGAATATCAACCACCAAAGTTGCAACAATTTGATGTTAATGGAAACTCAAGACAACACATGGTATATTTCGCCTAGACTTGTATTAGTGTTGGTACACATGGTGATCTTCTTGTCAAGAAGTTTGTGCGTTCCTTGAAAGATAACACCTTTGATTTGTACATGGACTTAGAGCATCAATCAATTGGTTGTTAGGAGAACCTTCAAAGTATATTCCCTAATAATTTCTAAAGCACCCGTCATGCAGTGAGCATGATGGAGTTGACAAACACAAAACAAAGTATAGATGAGCCTATAGTAGATTACAGTTTGTTAGCGAATATTGAGCTTATATTGCAAGGATCAATATTTTGAAACTTCTATAGTTGAAATTTGTATTCAAGGAATGCATTTGGGCCTTGTATATATCATGCAAAGGATTAGATTAAGCCTCAAACTTTTTGAAGAATTAGATATTGCTCATGACATGGAGGTGAGCATTACACGCTATGGAAAGACATCACCTATTTTTTATCTAAGAAAAGAAACTGCAAAACTTAACGAGTCACAAGAATATTAAAGGCATGACACGAAGAGAAAAACATAACTGAATAATCAAGAAGGCGGAATATAAGTCTCAAGAGATAAACTCAACATATCATGAAGAATATAAATACAAAACTCAAAGTGGAAATACTATGTCTGACAAGCCTCTACTGCATAATGAGTGACTAGGAAAAGCCCTAACTCACTAGAACAATCTGAAACTGAATAAGTCTGAAATGACATAAAATATAAGTTTGGCCATGTCCCCAAACCATGAGGACTATCTAAGTCTGAGCAATGCTGATAGGATCCAATACTAATCGCAGGCTGAATGATGTGCGTCAGAACCTATGTTATAAAATAATATAGGCACAAGAGATGTATGTAGTCAGTACTCAGAATGTACTGAATATGGAGAAAGATGTATGAGTATAACATGATAGCGTGATGAGTCTGAAAATATGATAATGCAATAACCAAGTAAACATACCATAAATCTGATCATATGGTTTCATAAAACACAGTACAAGGTCATGCATTATTCTTTAAATCATAATCATAACATGAGTCTTTCAGAAAGTCATAAATTTTTGTATGAGTTACCGTTAACTGACATAAATCATGTGAGCTATAACATAAAGTTAGTGTACTACTCCCATACCGAAAAGAGAGTATCTTACTTGCCAAGGTAAGGACCATAATCATGAGTTTAGGTGGATCTTCTAGCTATTGTCCAATTGAAACATACCTATGGAGGCATGAGGTTCTAGGACCTGGTAATCGCCACTAGTCCAATTCGGTGCTAAGTAAACTTCCAACAAAAATCATGCATAATCATAATCATATTCACAATTCTTGAAATGGTAAGAATCTAGTAGTATCAAGTCATTCATAAAATCTCATAAGAATAGCTCCTTTAAAATCATGATTTCATAATCTATTGATAAGAGACACTTTAATCAAAAACATCTAAACCATGATAGTCTTTTCATAGTAGTAATCACTTCAATTGGAAGTGACTAAATCATATCATTCTTTCATAATAGGAGGTAATCCAATCGAAAGCCTCAATTTTCATAAAAGTTATTGATAATTTATTCCAAACCATCCTTGATTCATAAATCTTTCATATCATAATGATTGCATATCATCATAGATTGAATTCATATCATAAAATACCTGCATAGCATAAATTCATGAAAACATCTTTGAAAATATTGAAATATGATCAAATAATGCATAATAAGATCAACCATGATAAGTAAACTTGAATTTAATTCATGGAGGAATCATAAAAACCCTATAATTGAGTGAGAATGATAAAGTAGCAATTTAGGTTTCTTTAGTACTCAATGGGTGAAGAGGAACCCTTTGATGAATTTACCACATATCATGATGAAACCCTCTATTGAAATCTGAAAAGGAGACTTGAAGCTTGAAGAACCCTTGAATCGCCTTGAGAGAAACTTGGGGTTTTGATAGTTTGAGTCTTAGAATCAGTTATAGGTCTTAGAAATAGGCTTAAAACGACATAGTTTAAGATTAAAAGAGTAGAAAAAGATCCAAATATCCCTGAAGTAAAACTCTCGGACCAACTCCACAGATTCCATCCACGGTCCATACAACCTACTAAGGATCGTATTATCCGTCTGTGAATTCAATTCCCTGAAATTCCAACTTTCGGAAGAATGAAGCATGAGCCATCAACCACAAATCATATTCCTTTGTACGGTCCATAGACCCCTTCCACAAAACCCAAAGCACTAAAATCATAAGTTTCTAAAAGTCAAATCCACGAGACTCAACCACAACCGGTGCTCTCATGTATGAGCTGTCATGTTGGCTCATTCATGCAGATTCTGAAATGCTATATTTCTAAGTATTAACCACGACTGGGTTGTCACATTCTTGGTCCAGTGTACCACCGTACACTCTACTCATGAAACCTTGCATCAACAATATTTCTGCACTTTATAACTTCCCATGACTTTTACACTTCCATGTGTTACAACAGATGACAATGGTTCTGATATGATGACTAAATATTTTCCAAGAGGGAAGTTTGACAAAAATT